TGCGGGGAACTCTGCAAAAAACGCATCTTCGCACGGGCAGCCCGTGCGTTGGCCATTTATTTAATACTTACAACAGAAAGCTATTCGAAAATGGATCAATGAACCACTTTTGAATACAGTTTACAGTAAATCATAACTTATTTACTGGGCACAAATTATACTTAAAAGTAATATGAAAAGTCAGACCATAAGTTTTGTGCCGACAGCGAAACGATTAATGGGACTACAATTTTGGAAGGCAAGTGAAGGCGACTTTGGAAAGCCCGAGCCAGTGAAATCAGTGAAGTACCAGGATGCTCAGTCTGATTCTTTACGTCGAAAAAACATACATGTATAAAAAAAAGAAAAAAATCGAACCCAGATGACTGCTCTTTTTCAGTAAATTCGCTAGAACTAAGCTGACTATCAGTGATCAACGTTGGCTGCGAATACGATGAGCTGGTTCGCTCATCACTGAAAAAGTGCTGCGCTTCCAGCTCACTTTCTTCCTCCGCACAAATGCACTCGATCATATACTGTAGTGTTTCGACTACTTCGTGTTCCAGTGAATCCAGCGATGATGTCTCAACGGATTCCTGGAATTCACTTATGCAATTTCTTCGAAAATAGAAATGTAAATAACTCAAAGCAATGTTTTTGAGAACTGGAAAAAACTGAAACATAGCACAGATCTCCAGTACTATTCGAGCTATAAACGTAGAGCTTTTGATGCTAAAGATGCAACTAAAAATCAAGCTCTGAGCAGCCACTACTGACAGATGAAAGAGAAGCACAACCAATTTTTCTCGCAAAATGCATCTGAAAAGCTTTTAGATATACAGAGCAGGGGAACGAACATTATCATCGTCATCAAAGATCGGGATATCCGAAACGGTCCTTCGATGTGTTCTCTGCGCATCGCTTGTTACATTCAAATCCACTGCACCAGGAGTGTCGCCATAGCCTTCTTGCAGCAAACGATTTCTCAGCTCGATAAACCAGGCTGGGTAGCCGCTAGAAGTACAACAGTTGCACACTGTGGAAAAAAAGATGGCAGGTGCGATGTAGCAGCAACCAGCGTTATTCTCAAGTTCTAATTCGGTGATTCTACTTCGTCAGCAAGTAAATTAATCCCTCCACGATCCGATCCCTCCTGTCCTTTATTTCAGCAAGCTATGCTGGACTTCCCTTTCTGCAGCACTTTGTAATCAGCGATATTTCAAAAACTATCAGCATATTACACCAAGCACAGTAACGCTGATAAAATAGTACTAGGGATTTCCGACAAAAAATTTTTTGGTCAACAGACTGAACGACAAGAGAAAACAACAGAAAATGCGAGGAAAACATGGAGAATGCGGGGGAAGGGAAGGAGGGAAATAGGGATAAGAGAGAAGGACGAGGGTCAGACAGAAATACGTCTCATTTTTCTGAAGGAATATACCTATTCGTCAATACTGGTCTCTGCTTCCCCAAAGTTTGAGCGGTAAAAGCCCATACAAAACAGCAGACTTATAAAGATACTCAATTTTTGAATCGCAAAAAAGAGGAGGTTGAACTATCTTCAAAGAAGGCAATTCCAGTAAATGTAATAGTTCTGAAGCGAAACGGGGTTTGCCTAGCACACCTTTTCCATTTATTTGCCCTTCCTTCCCTCTTTCCCCCTGGACTGTAGATACAGTGCAACACATTAAACAATAAATATAAAAATATTCTGAAAGACTCACTCGCCCGTTCTCGTCCGGAATTCCGATAAGCGAAACTGAGCTTCGTTTGAGAGCGGCACCGATACATCCTCGCATAAGTGATGCAGCGACTGATGGCCTCCTTCGGTTAGCAGTGTGATTGTGCAAATACCGTAGGGTAAGCCCGGAATCTAAAACAAAAAGTCCTTAATATTTCTATAAAACCTACTTTGAAAGACTGCGTCTCCAAAGGAGCCCATATCTTTAAATCAGCCACTCGGGCAGATTCACTTTTTTCAAAAACAAAATTTTCTTTCAAAACAAATTTAAAGGCGCAGAAAGATTCAACAAAGACAAACCTTTTCTTTATTCACTCGGTTTTGCATGGTGAGATACTGTATTGAGACTCGCGATGTGCTCGGACTCAGTAGCATCGCTGCCCACATCTGCAAGAACCAAAATCATTGGCGACGCGCACTGGGCAGGCCCGTGCGATCATGCGTTTTTGCAGTGTTTCATGCTGTAATAAGATCACTCGAAATTTCGCTAGCTAGAAACCTCTTGTACATACTGGTCCTCGAATTTCGGGAAGTTAATTATCCACACTATACTTGGACAGGGGACATTTTCTTAAATTCTCAGGTTCCCAGCTTTCTCAGTTTCCGAGTTACCCAAATTCCAGCCAAAAAATTTCACGGGGCCGTAGATGGCAATCCCGCATAATGCGGGGAAAGGGGAAGGGGAGGGGCTGAATTTGACAAATTTAAGTTGTAGATGAGTTGGGAACATTTTCTTAAAGTTCCAGCCTCCCAGCTTCCCTGGTTCCGGAGTTAGCCATTTTCCCGCCAAAAATTTTCACGGGGCCGTA